AGTCTCAGTCCTGGGTCTACAGCCTCAGTCCTGGGTCTACAGCCTCAGTCCTGGGTCTACAGCCTCAGTCCTGGGTCTACAGCCTCAGTCCTGGGTCTACAGCCTCAGTCCTGGGTCTACAGCCTCAGTCCTGGGTCTACAGCCTCAGTCCTGGGTCTACAGTCTCAGTCCTGGGTCTACAGCCTCAGTCCTGGGTCTACAGCCTCAGTCCTGGGTCTACAGCCTCAGTCCTGGGTCTACAGTCTCTCTCTCTGCTCTCTCTCTCTGGTCTCTCTCTCTGGTCTCTCTCTCTCTCTGGTCTCTCTCTCTCTCTGGTCTCTCTCTCTCTCTGGTCTCTCTCTCTCTCTGGTCTCTCTCTCTCTCTGGTCTCTCTCTCTCTCTGGTCTCTCTCTCTCTGGTCTCTCTCTCTCTCTGGTCTCTCTCTGGTCTCTCTCTGGTCTCCCTCTCTGGTCTCTCTCTGGTCTCTCTCTCTGGTCTCTCTCTCTCTCTGGTCTCTCTCTCTCTCTCTCTCTGGTCTCTCTCTCTCTCTGGTCTCTCTCTCTCTCTGGTCTCTCTCTCTCTCTGGTCTCTCTCTCTCTGGTCTCTCTCTCTCTCTGGTCTCTCTCTCTCTGGTCTCTCTCTCTCTCTGGTCTCTCTCTCTCTCTGGTCTCTCTCTCTCTCTGGTCTCTCTCTCTCTGGTCTCTCTCTCTCTCTGGTCTCTCTCTCTCTGGTCTCTCTCTCTCTCTGGTCTCTCTCTCTCTCTGGTCTCTCTCTCTCTCTGGTCTCTCTCTCTCTGGTCTCTCTCTCTCTGGTCTCTCTCTCTCTGGTCTCTCTCTATGGTCTCTCTCTATCTGGTCTCCCTCTCTCTGGTCTCTCTCTCTGGTCTCTCTCTCTGGTCTCTCTCTCTGGTCTCTCTCTCTGGTCTCTCTCTCTGGTCTCTCTCTCTGGTCTCTCTCTCTGGTCTCTCTCTCTGGTCTCTCTCTCTGGTCTCTCTCTCTGGTCTCTCTCTCTCTGGTCTCTCTCTCCCTGGTCTCTCTCTCTCTGGTCTCTCTCTCTGGTCTCTCCCTCTCTGGTCTCTCTCTCTCTGGTCTCTCTCTCTGGTCTCTCTCTCTGGTCTCTCTCTGGTCCTCACTCTCTCTCTGGTCTCTCTCTCTCTCTGGTCTCTCTCTGGTCTCTCTCTCTCTGGTCTCTCTCTCTGGTCTCCCTCTCTCTGGTCTCCCTCTCTCTGGTCTCTCTCTCTCTCTGGTCTCTCTCTCTCTCTGGTCTCTCTCTCTCTGGTCTCTCTCTCTCTCTGGTCTCTCTCTGGTCTCTCTCTCTCTGGTCTCTCTCTCTCTCTGGTCTCTCTCTCTCTCTGGTCTCTCTCTCTCTCTGGTCTCTCTCTCTGGTCTCTCTCTGGTCTCTCTCTCTGGTCTCTCTCTCTCTGGTCTCTCTCTCTCTGGTCTCCCTCTCTGGTCTCTCTCTCTCTGGTCTCTCCCTCTCTGGTCTCTCTCTCTCTGGTCTCTCCCTCTCTGGTCTCTCTCTCTGGTCTCTCTCTCTGGTCTCTCTCTCTCTGGTCTCTCTCTCTCTGGTCTCTCCCTCTGGTCTCTCTGGTCTCTCTCTCTGGTCTCTCTCTCTGGTCTCTCTCTCTCTGGTCTCTCTCTCTCTGGTCTCTCTCTCTCTGGTCTCTCTCTCTGGTCTCTCTCTCTGGTTACCAGTGCAATGAGAGGGTCCTGGTCTGTCTCTGCCATACACCGATCTGCAGCAGTGTGACCTCCGTCTGCCTCCTGGAACCACACAGTCAAGTTTATTTGAATAGAGAGAGACCAGAGAGAGACCAGAGAGAGAGAGCAGAGAGAGAGAGTCCAGAGAGAGAGAGAGAGAGAGAGACCAGAGAGAGAGAGTCCAGAGAGAGAGAGCAGAGAGAGAGAGAGAGAGAGACCAGAGAGAGAGAGAGACCAGAGAGAGAGAGCAGAGAGAGAGAGTCCAGAGAGAGAGAGAGAGAGAGACCAGAGAGAGAGAGTCCAGAGAGAGAGCAGAGAGAGAGAGAGAGTCCAGAGAGAGAGAGAGAGAGAGCAGAGAGAGAGAGAGAGAGAGAGAGAGTCCAGAGAGAGAGAGAGAGAGAGAGAGACCAGAGAGAGAGAGAGAGTCCAGAGAGAGAGCAGAGAGAGAGAGAGAGAGAGAGTCCAGAGAGAGAGAGAGTCCAGAGAGAGAGAGCAGAGAGAGAGAGACCAGAGAGAGAGAGAGAGAGAGAGAGTCCAGAGAGAGTCCAGAGAGAGAGAGAGAGAGAGAGAGAGTCCAGAGAGTCCAGAGAGAGACCAGAAAGAGAGAGCAGAGAGAGAGAGACCAGAGAGAGAGAGAGAGAGAGAGCAGAGAGAGAGAGACCAGAGAGAGAGAGAGAGAGAGAGAGTCCAGAGAGAGAGACCAGAGAGAGAGAGAGAGTCCAGAGAGAGAGAGCAGAGAGAGAGAGACCAGAGAGAGAGAGAGAGAGAGTCCAGAGAGAGAGAGCAGAGAGAGAGTCCAGAGAGAGAGAGAGAGAGAGTCCAGAGAGAGAGAGCAGAGAGAGAGAGTCCAGAAAGAGAGAGAGAGAGAGTCCAGAGAGAGAGAGAGAGAGAGTCCAGAGAGAGAGAGAGAGAGTCCAGAGAGAGAGAGCAGAGAGAGAGTCCAGAGAGAGAGTCCAGAGAGAGAGAGCAGAGAGAGAGAGTCCAGAGAGAGACCAGAGAGAGAGAGAGAGAGAGAGAGTCCAGAGAGAGAGAGAGAGAGTCCCAGAGAGAGAGACCAGAGAAGACAGAGAGAGAGACCAGACAGAGACCAGAGAGAGAGACCAGAGAGACCAGAGAGAGACCAGAGAGAGAGAGCAGAGAGAGAGAGTCCAGAGAGAGACCAGAGAGAGACCAGAGAGAGACCAGAGAGAGAGAGACCAGAGAGAGAGACCAGAGAGAGACCAGAGAGAGTCCGAGAGAGAGCAGAGAGAGAGACCAGAGAGAGTCCAGAGAGAGAGCAGAGAGAGAGACCAGAGAGAGAGACCAGAGAGAGACCAGAGAGAGAGACCAGAGAGAGACCAGAGAGAGAGACCAGAGAGAGACCAGAGAGTGAGACCAGAGAGTGAGACCAGAGAGTGAGACCAGAGAGAGAGTCCAGAGAGAGACCAGAGAGAGACACCAGAGAGAGAGAGCAGAGAGAGAGTCCAGAGAGAGACCAGAGAGAGACCAGAGAGAGAGACCAGAGAGAGACCAGAGAGAGAGAGCAGAGAGAGAGAGTCCAGAGAGAGAGAGCAGAGTTCGGTGTCCCAGCTTTAACAAAGATCTATTCTTCCTCAGCTTCATCTCACGAGTCTCGGCTTCCACCGCCTGAGCACGTGCCCGGTTAAAGCAGAGGAGACCGCAGACAGAACAAAGTTATACACATTCATTTAAACTCCAATTCAGACTAAAACACAAGATCTGCCAGAACTCTCTCTCTGTGTTCTACTCAAAAAACCATGACATCTGTCGCTCTGCAGAGATTGAAAAAGTTAGTCCTGAAAACGTCTTATTTCGACTCTTCCGGAGGGCTGGTCATGCTAGCAGGCTGTGGTCATGCTAGCAGGCTGTGGTCATGCTAGCAGGCTGTGGTCATGCTGTTTTCTGGATTTACCTTAGATTAAAGGCGAAAATTTGCGAAGAGACGAAGCCGAGGAAGTAAACAAGAGCGAACCAGGAAGAGAGTCAGCTGACGGCGCACCACGTGGGTGTGACGTCACCCCGTTCTCTATCCAAATCAAAAGAACCGATGGTAACTTTGACCCCCCCCTAGCGTTAGATTATGCTTATGTTTTTCTTTTTTTTTTTTTTTCTTTTTTTTTCTTTGTTATTTATTTTTCCTTTTTTCTTCTTGCTCTCCTATCCTCTCTATTTTTCTCCCTATCTTGTTTTTTGTTTTGTTTTTCTCTTTTACAATTTTAATTTTGCACTGATCCAGTCCATTATTTTAATGTCTACTGGTAATTTTTCATGTGCAAATACGGATAATTGTTGATTATTGTACTTGTTTCAATGATTGTCAACATTGGTTTAATAAAGATTAAAAAAAAAAAAAGAACCGATGGTGGGGCCGCTTGACACGATGACAGCGTTGCTCCCCTGTCTTTAAATTGAGAATTCGCAAAAATGCAACCAAATGTACTAAAATCATATATATGTGTACTCAAAGCATATATATGTGTACTCAAAGCATATATATGTGTACTCAAAGCATATATATGTGTACTCAAAGCATATATATGTGTACTCAAAGCATATATATGTGTACTCAAAGTATATATATGTGTACTCAAATCATATATATATGTACTCAAAGTATATATATGTGTACTCAAAGTATATATATGTGTACTCAAAGTATATATATGTGTACTCAAAGTATATATATGTGTACTCAAAGCATATATATGTGTACTCAAAGTATATATATGTGTACTCAAATCATATATATGTGTACTCAAAGTATATATATGTGTACTAAAATCATATATATGTGTTCTCAAAGCATATATATGTGTACTCAAAGCATATATATGTGTACTCAAAGCATATATATGTGTACTCAAAGCATATATATGTGTACTAAAAGCATATATATGTGTACTCAAAGCATATATATGTGTACTAAAAGCATATATATGTGTACTCAAAGCAAATATATGTGTGCTCGAAGCAAATATTATATGCTCGAAGCTTATATATGTGTGTAAATGTGGTTTCATATTTATGCAAAATGACTCTAAGACCTTCTGGAGATGGGGCTGGTCACCAACAGCAGGACGTTGCCTTTGTGGAAAAAGTCAGAGCAGGGACCATGAGCCATAATCCACACACACACAATTGCCTTGTTCTACTTTTTTTTTGTTACTGCATTGACACAAATGCAGTAAAGTAAACTACTGTCATGTGCAGTATACTGTAGTACTGTGATAAGTAAGTAATCTTTATTTATATACCATGTACAGCTTGTACATATACAACCTGTACAGATGTACAGTATACTGTATAGAGAAAAACAAATAGTTCTGATGCTTCACAGAAATCTAACTGATAAACAGAAAACAAACAGTGAAAATTAAAGACTGGAGTGTTTTATATAAAGTACTGTTTGTGTTGAAGAGTTTGAGTTTTGACAATAGTTTAATTTTGATACAGATGTGTTTGGTTTATGTCCCAGTGTTGTGTGTAGCGTTTAATGAGTGATTAATGAGTGATTTTGCAAACAGTTTTCAAGCAATAGGAAAAATAAATATTAATAAAGTCTACCACTGATCCAGTCTGTTAACGTACAGCATCATTATGACCATTATTATTGTTGTTGTGAGTACTACTACTACTACTACTACTAATGTCTCAAGGATACCACTCTCTTTTTTCAGGGTTTCTATATAAATAAATAGATCATATCAAATATAGGCCCAACCTAAGCCAATGTAGTTTATTCAAATGTTTTAAAACTCAACACAAATCCAACAAATTAAGAGCAACTCAGTCGTCTATTATTCGGCCAAGGGTCCATTGGGCTTTGAACCTTGTGAATCCTTCCAATCTCATGAGGATACCAATTGTTACCTAAAGCAAACATTTTAGAAAAAAAATAAAGTCAGAAAAAAACATGGCAGACAAAGTTACAGGACAATGTAACTTATGGGCACGGTGGCTGAGTGGTTAGCACTCTTGCCTCTCAGCAAGAAGGTCCTGCGTTCGAATCCCGGCCGGACCAGGGCCTTTCTGAGTGGAGTTTGCATGTTCTCCCCGTGTCTGCATAGGTTTCCTCCGGGTGCTCCAGTTTCCCCTACCACTAAAAATATGTACAATAGTTCTGGCATGCGCCTCCTGTACTGGCCCCTCCCATCTCTGTGTGGAGTGAGAGACTAATGCCCAAAAATAATAATAATTGTAAACCGCTTTGAGACTCTGGTCTGTGAAAGGCGGTATATAAATAAATATTACTTACTTACATGAAACATAAATGTAAACATACTTCTGGAACCATAACGTCGATGATAAAATCCACATTTCTGATTTCCAAATAGTCCATTGCCAGTGCATTTTTTACTGTTTTTATTAACTCCTCAAGCTGCAAAATAAAACAATTTCATTGAGTGTGATGATAGGTAATAATCAAATACAAATGAAACACTGGTGTTTCACTAAAAATGGAAGGTCTTACGTTCAAAGTTTGCTTTAGTGACATGTTCCTCTCTGGATTGCGCCACAGGAACATTCTGTTTGATTTTCTTTTGTTTGAATCCAGTAAGGCTTTTACATCCTGCAAGAGGGACAGACGTCATATTCAAAACATTGGTGGCATTAGATTTAAATCCACAAACTTTTATTCTTTCATGGGAAACAAGTCCAGTAATGCCGTGGTCACGCAGACAAGTCAAAGTTCTAGTGTGAGAAGGGCTTTATTCAAGCATCTTTAACAAATATGTATTGAATCTTTTTTACATATATCACACCTTGTGAACCTGTGGCTCGGGGAGATCACATCCACAGCTGAACAAAGACCTCTTGTACTCTTCACAAATAATCGCACAATCTTTGTGTAGCCATTGCATGTTTCACACTTGACCCAGTTCTCTTTACAGACCAGTGGATACAATGCTCTGTAGGAAGAAATAAACAGTCATTTCATTCTTACATGGAATGAGAGGGGCAATAAGAACTTTGCCTGACAGTGCTCATGAGCCAGCAGCTGTCATGGTGTGGGTTTTATTTTTGTATTTTAGTTTTATTTTGACATTGTTCTCTGTGGTTTGGTTGTACTTCCTGTCCTGTTTGCCCCTGTCTTGATTGTCTGCCCCGCCCTGATGTGTTTCACCTGTGTCTGTGTCTATATGTACCTGTGCTTCTCTCCCCTTGTTGCTGGTCCATTGTATTGTCTGTCCTTGTCAGTCTGTGTTCCTGGTTCTTGTTTGGATTATGTTTTCATCTTGGACTTTTATTTGATTTTTATCATTAAACCATTTTTGTTTTTCGCATTCCTGCATTTTGAGTCCTCCATCACTTCACCCCATGACAGCAGCATCATACTTAAACATGTTTCATGTGTGGAGCTCTGCTATAGTACACAAATGTACACAAATGTACAGAATAAGGACAGCAGTGCTAAATGGATGTGTCCTCTAGACCGTCATGAGACCGGTTTGTTTCCAGGTTAGGAATCCAGTTCAGTCATGACCATTATGAAGCCTTTAATGCCACATGGCAAACACATTTTGGCAATAAGCCTTCAATCAGGGCATTTATCTCAAGATAAATCAGCATAGCTGCCTCTGTTTTAGCTGGCAGGGGTCCCATGTCTCTAAAGATTCATTCATAGGTTAGGAGGGTGTAATAAGTTCAGAATAGTTGAAGATTGTGTTGGAATGATGTTTGGCAGAGGTGATACGCAGGGTGTAAGGATTTTACTAGTAATCTATGTTGTAATGAGAGGTTAATAGGGTTAATAGAGTGTTAAATGAGTGTGAAGGATGGTTAATGATGTGTTACGATGAGTATATGGTTGTTACGAGTG